CATTCACTATATTGTATAAAGTCCTGACAAGAATTAGACCCCTGAAAGTCTCATTCAAGAGAAGATTCGGACGTAGTTGCGTTTGTCTCCCCATTAATGGTGGTTGGGTGTAGGTCTAATCACTCTATCCTTTAAAAAACTCTTTGATTTCGGAACAACAAACATTGCCTCGAAACGTGGAGCCTGCGGATTTATGTATAGGAGCTTGGAACGTGCAATCAATGTATAGGACTGGAATCATGACGACAATCTTATCGTGTCTTGAGCGATACAGATTGGATATAACGGCAGTTCAAGAAATAAGGTGAGACGGAACTGGTAGTAAAAGGTCACAAGGAAACACAACTTTTTACAGTGGCGGAGAAAACATGAAAGGGGAGTAGGCTTTGTTATTAAGGACAAAGTTTTATCAGGTGTTGTTAAGTTTGAACCAATAAGTGATAGAATATGTTATATGGAGTTTAAATGCAGATGGTTTAACATTATAATAGTAAATTGTTAGGCACCTACAGATGATAAAATAAAAAAGTAAAAAATGTTTTCTATGATAAGCTGAACAGTGTATGTGGTGGATTACTGTCCGGAAAGCCAAAACTCATTATTGATGACTTCAACGCGAAAAAGGATCTCCCTATAGATTTTATAGACCCGATGGACTGTAAAAATTATAGGGGAATCTCGCTATTGAACGCAGTGTATAAAATACTATCTAATATTCTACTTATTAGAATAAAACCTAACATAAAAGAAATTATTGGAGATTACCAGGGGGGGTTTATGGCAGGAAAGTCAACCCAAATATATATATATGTATATATATACAAATATATACAAATATTATATATATAATATATGAAATAGATCAGATACACCTCTTGTTTATATATTTCGAGGCCACCTACGATTCAGTAAACAGAGAGAAGCTATGGAGTATAATGTACCAATTGGGGATACCTGAAAAGTTTGTTAGACTAATCCATGCATGTGTAAATCAAAGTGTAAAGTGAAGTTCGGAGGTGTCGTGTCGGAGGACTTCGAGACTCAGACAAAATGATACCTTGTCCCCAGCTCTATTCAATATAGCTTAACTACGACTGGAATCAGTCATAAGAAAAACCCTAGTAACAGCGATTGGAATTGACAAACAATTAGTAGTGGCTGCATATGCAGACGATTTAGTCATAATGGCAGAAAATGAAGTGAGTCTAAAGAGTATTACAAGAACTTTGCTGGGATATGAGAAGATAATTGGGTTAACAATAAACGAGGGTAAGACAAAATACATGGTCGTAACTAGGAATAACCACAGAATAGGATAATTCGATATTAGTAACTACAAATTCGAATGAGTAGATAATTTTCAATACCTAGGAGTGGACATCAACAAGGACGCAAATAGCCACGAGGAAATAAAACTTATATTAACAGCAGCAACACAGATGTTATTTTGGATTGATTCCTCTATTTAAATCAAAGATTTTACCTTGGAAGTTAAAAATAACTGTTTACAATGTACTATGTTACCGATAGCCTTGTATGCGTGTAGGGCGTGGGCCACGATAATGTCGGATAAATGTAAACTGGCGACCTTTAAACGAAAGATATTAAAAAGAATATATGACTCAAAAATTAATAATGAAGAAGAATATGAGATAAGGACAAACCAAGAAATTTAAAACCTATACGGAGAAACAAATATCATTGGAGTTCTAAAAAGTAGTAGATTGAGACGGGCTAGACACGTGTAGAAATCGGAGGGTACAATTGAACAGGTAACTAATTGGAGACCAAACACTAAGAGTCCTAGGGGATATCCTAGACAAAGATGGAACGATAGAGTGGTCAAGGATTTGAAAAAACTCGGAGTAGAAAATGGGGAGGAATTGGCGAGAGACAGGGACCGATGGAATCAAGTTGTTATTGCGGCAAAAGGCCTAAATGGCTTGTAAAAGCCTCGAAAGAAGAAGAAAAAGAAAATTTTCACGTAATATTAAAGTAAAAATCAAAAGATATAGATTAACTTAATTTATTTTTAGAGAACGAATTAATAAATATATCAGTAATTGAACTCAAAATAAAATAATAGAATCATATGGAAATGTTGTATTAAAAAAAATTCTTAACTTTGTTAATGAATCAAGATATTTTTCTGTATTGGTTGATAAAACAACTAATACATCTATAAAAAAATAACAACTGTCATTATGTCTTAAATATTTAACAGGGTTATGATAGAGCTAGNAAAACCTCAATCAAAATTGAAAGAGAAATTTTATCAAGGGTTTATGATAATGTTTTATTAATACGAACAAAATAACTATTCTTATAAATAATTATTGTTCAAGACAAGAAAAAAAAATATCATATTGATAAATATATCATTGATTCAATAGTAATGATATATTTATCAAATTGAACAATGAATTTATTATATAGATCGAGGTTTTTCTTTGGGTGTAATATTATTGGTTTTTTGAAGGAGTTCAAAGTATTATTAGAACTAAATACCCGTAGCTTTATTTTATAAGCTTTTTTTTTTAAATAAAAGAATAAATAAAAGACAAACTTACAGAAATAATTCACATATAAATGATTATCAAAACAATGAGTCTGACCCTAATGAGTATTATAGAGTCACTATATTTCGTCCTTATATTCACTACTTTATAAATCAAATGGAAAAAAGGTGAAAGGTTTTTGACAAATAATAATATATTTAAAGATTTTTTTCAATTAATAGGGAAATTTATCAAAATAAATATAATTATTATTGGTATAAATATTTTGTACATTTTCTAGGTTTCTATGTTTATTTGAAAATGGTTAAGAATCTGAAGACTTTGATGAGCTAGTAAAATGTTATCTTCTATATAATAATCAAACCGTAGAGTAAAACTACAACTATGAAAAACTGAACTTTCAAGATTTGGAAATCCCTCAAAAATTAACTGAGTATTTCAAAATTATGCAATTCTGAAATTTTTTTTTAATATCTATAATTTATTACAAGTATTATGCGCACTACTAATGTCAACAGCCATTACCTATAAGAATATTTTCTGAGATTAAAATCATATTTAAGAAATAGTATATAAAGGTAAATTAATTTTTATATTTTTTTAACACCTAATGTCCAAATGCGGCCCTAGAATTAAGCCAGCAAAAATATGTTTAAACACACGGTACAGAAGAAATTAAAATGAAAATAAAAATAAATATTTTAATATAAAAATCAATGTCGTAAGATCCGAATTTGCATAACTAAATCAAGCATTTTAATTTAAAATAACTATTGATCTTAGTAAAAACATATTTGTAATATAAAAAAAAACCTTAACGCAAACTGATATTACTCCAACATTTGAAATCCTTCCCCAAAGATTTGTAACACATTTTATAATATAGAAGTATGTGATTGTCGGAGTACTATCAGTTCGTGGTAATCTCCATAACCCGTTTATAATACCGTCAGACGAAAGCGCGGAAAACATGTAACCGATATTTATACCAACACACAATACGTGCGTGCTAATTGTTTTGTCCGAAGAAGCAGTAGAAAGTACTGCAATTGCGATAAAAAAAATTGAAATTAATTGAATGATAATGTTATTATTAGGTACAGTAGAAGGCCTGTTCTTGTTGACTGTAAAGTTGCTGGTTATGTTATACACATTTCAGAAGAGATGTATATTATTAATAAATTAAAACAAGTAATTTAAAATTGGAACATTATAACGACATATTCTCAGGAAAGGAGTCGTCATATAAAAAATAGAATTGACAAATTTGCAGAATTAATTTAATACCAACCATTTAAACTACGTGAAAAAGGAAAATGCACTATGTAGTAATTATTACTATTATTATTTCATTTTTATAAACCTTAGTAAATGTAAAATTCATTGCAAAAAAGAATTCTTAAGGTAGATTAAAGGACATAACTTTTAAAAGTTTAATGGGAACAAATTATTTTTCTATTATTGGAGAATGGTCTTAATAAAATTTTACCTGATTGATAACTAGTTTTGAATAATCACTTTTTGAGATATTAACATTTGTAAATTTAGAAAAACTGAAGCTAGGTATCGTTTAGAGATATTTCATTTTAACCATAACGCATAAAAATCTTTCATTGCGCATTCTGCTTGCCTTTAACACAATACTTATCAATCAATCATAATTTTATTTAGACCATTCTCCATTTAACAATACAAAAATAATTTGTTCCCATTAAACTTTTAAAAGTTAACCCCCATAACATACCTTTAAGAATAATTTTTTTTGTAATAAACTTTACATTTATATATAGGTTTATAAACATAAATTCAACTTTAATCTATACATTTTTGTGAAAAAATCATAATTTAACAAAAAAATGGGTGGTAATATGCATAATAAATTACTTTGTATACATACATAAAATATAAGATAATATATAATGATGTAGAATAGAAATAATTCTTCATAGTTATCACTAGAAATATTAAAAATAATCATGATATATATTTAATAATCAGAAATGCAGTTTATATTAAAAGAAACTCAATATTTATTATATAATTTTAATAGATCAATTTTCAATTTAAAATCTGAAAATTCTTATTTTTTCTAGTGTCATGCAGTTTAAATTTTAAACAATGACAACACTAAATTTTTATATACAAGTCTCTAACCTTAGATACCTTGAATACATTTTTTAATAACTCAAGAAAAATGTATTCTAAAAAACTTGATATTAAATATTTCATTAGTTCACAATATTCCATTAGTTAAAAAATAAATTTATAAAATCTTTTTCGTTTTGTTTATTTACTGTGGCACCATTCATTTAAATGTTTATAAGTATTAAAAGTATATTAATTTGTTAAATTTTAATTGACAACTAAAAAGTTCTATACTATTTTTATAATATTTTGATATTTAATAAGGCAACAAAATAATGAAAATTTTTTAATTAATATAACTGCAATATTGATTTAAAATAAAATAAATTTTCATAATTAATAGTAAAATATATAATTAACAATAGAAATAATAGAGTTCAACATTTAATTAATTGCTTATAATGAAAGTAAAAATAAAACCAATATTTATAAAATAAAAACCTGATATCATTGAATATAGATTTATTTATGTTTAAAAAATTGATGTTAATAAATTACTACTACAGACTACAAAAGCAAACTCTACGTTTTCTTTGACTTCCTTTTAGATTGTGTTTCCTGAAACAAATAATATAAGTTAATGTGCAAAAAAAAATTAATTTAGTTTATGCACATATTTATAATCTTCTTTAGTTAAAAATTCATTATTTCAATTATTTTGGCTTAATGTCTAATAAATCAAGTATAATTTGTGTAATATAATTTAAGTATTTTATGTAACATTAAATACTTTATTATAATTACTGTTTTAATTGTTTCTACTCAATAAAAACAAAATTTAGAATAACAGATAAAATCCCTCTAAATAATATTATATAGGAATATGTAAATTAAATAATTATAAGTTTAACTTATAAACAATTTAAAATTGAAAAAAGGATAAAAATAAGAGAAGAGAAAATAACAGTTTACAGAGTGTTCAGTAAGTAAAGAAACAGGTTTCTATTGTTGGAAATAATTAACCTGTTACCTTACTTACTTAACACCCTATGTATTTATTTCATATAATATAATATAATAATAGTTATGCTAGAATAATTTCCATTTAATTTAAATATAACATAATTATATGATATTGAATCCGCTAATTATAATTTAAACAAAAAGTGTGTCACCTTTGGTTTTTTTGTGTCAGCTTGCTTTGAAGCTCCATCAACTATTTCACTTTTCATATTGTTTTCAACTAAACATTCTATTTTATCACCATTTACTGAAGAACTGCTGCTTACTCCAGTATCATAAGCAGGTTCATCAGACAAATGGGATCGAGAAGAAGTTGGTGATTCAGGGGATATTTCTTCTCCATTTCCCTGTTGTAATTGCTGTTCAATAGATTCCTTGACCAATTTTAATTCATTTTCCATAACTGTTTGCAACTCTTCTTTTAAAGCATCAGCTAAAATGCAATAACTAAATTAGCAAGTAACAAACAAAAAAATAAAACTGAATTACATTTAGACTTTGGATCTTCAGTTCGCGCAAACCAATCAGCCATAGTACACATGCTAATATCTGTAAGTCGTTCAGCTAGTTCTTCAGATATGACATCAGTTGGGACATCAGATGACTTTTTACCTTGTTCCAATTTAGATAGTAATGTTTGTCGTTCAGAGTGTAATGTACGACATAATTTTTGTAAAGTACTTAACTGTCGTGTTGCCACTGATAAATCACTTATCATTCTAGCTCGTTCATTGGTCATTTCATCCAACAACTGTTGACAACGTTCATATCGCATTTTCCAACTTGCAGATTCTTTTTCTTGTTTTACAATTTTTTTGGACATCTATCAAAAAATATATGTTTTTTTAATTTAAAAACAATTTTTTTATTTTTTACTCACTAATTCCATATCGCCTTTAAAACCAGCAAAAACTTTATTACTGCGAGCTAGTGCATTTTGAAATTCTTCATACTTTTCATTGTAAAGTGATATTTGATTTCGAAGATCAATTTCTGTAGCTTGCATTTCTTCAATTCTAGTTTGATACTGTCTGATTTCCTACAAAGTAAAATATATATATATATACAATTATATACATTTAAACATTATGCATAGTTAAAACTCACTTTTAATAGGTGAGTTTTTTCATTCAATAAAGTCTCTCTTTCAACACTTATTTCCATATTAGCCTTAGCTAATTTTGCATCACATAACTGAGTTTCAAGCTCTATTTGTTTTGCTAATTTAACAACTTGCTAAATAATTAAAAAAAAAAAAAAAAATTAAGTCATAGAGAAAAAATTAAATAATGATAATTAACAAATAGTTAAAGAAATATGTGCTTACAGCGCCATTTACCTGTTCTCTAAGCTCATACTGTTCGCAAACATTCTTAAGCCTAGAAGACATATCTATATTATCATCTCGTAGTTTGTTACTTTTTTCACTATTTTGTTGCATGACTGTAGCTATTTCTCCTAAGGTATTTTGAAACTTGTTTGTCATTTCTATACGTTTATCTTCTGCTTCTTTAACACGTTTTAGACTCTCTTCCTAAACAATTAATAAACAATTTTAAATTTGTATCAGGCCATCAAAATTATCAATAAGAAAAATCCTAAAAATAGCTTTTTTAAAATTTCAAAAATGCTAATAACTTTCAAAGAATTACTCCAAAAGTTGTTATCAAGCAGTCATTGTCTTGATTAGATAATTTTCAATTTTATAAGTTAGATTAACACATATGTTACTATAAAAAAAAAAAAATTACATTCCTATAAGATATAAATATATCTAAAAAATTTATTAGTTTAAGAGAAATTGGGTGGCTAAAATTAAATGGATCAACTTGACTAATAATTTTATATATTATATAGTATTACAAAAAAAAAATATATATCAACACACAATAAGAATTTTATTTTTTCATTAAATTACTAAATCTTTATTTTTACGATTTCTTTAAATTTCAATAAAGATATAAGTTCAAGATAATATTATCATTATAGAACCCTTAATTAATTTGTTGAATACATGAATCTCATATATTATGTAATTTTTAATTAAATTAACTTTAAACCTTGAACTATTAATTTAAATAATATTTTTACTCTAATTGCTTTGTTCTGTTTCTGCAATTCTCTGCATAAACTTTCTAATCGACTTCGAGTCATTATAGCTTTATTCATTTCACCCTTTACGTTATCACGTTCAGTCATAGCTTGAGTAACTTTTTTTTCAGATTGTTTATAAGCTGTCTAAAAAAAAAAATGAAGTTGGTTAATAATATACATTTTTTATTTTATCATTTACTTTGAGTTTGGTATTTTCATCCATTAAATCTGCATATTTAATACAAAGAGCTCCCAACTTTTCTTCTGGAGTATTAAGAGAGTTCATACTATTTAAAACTGTTTTTAATGCTTGAGCCAGATGTCGATCTTTCTTTTTACGGTTTTTTTCATTAGATTGTAAATTAGAATCTATATCAATATCTGAAGCATGAGTGGCTGCAGGTATGGAATTAATTATATCATTTGGTTTGGATGAGGATGATAATGTTGAACCATTTGCAACACAAGAATTATCTTTTACGGCAACCTTAGAAGAAATAAATCAAAAAGAGTTAAAATTAAAACCGCATTTATAATATATTAATGAAAATTACTTTATGAGTGATATTTAAAATAGGTTCTTCTATAGAAGTAGTTGCAGCTTCCATCTTAATAAATTTAAAATAATTATTTAAAATTTAGTTCTTAAAAGGCATCAAAAGTAACAAAACCTGCAGTTAAATATAAATAAATAGTTAAATTCAATTTGATTTCTAAAAAAATAAATACTTATTACCTAGATAAAAAATGGGAGTACTTAAATTTCATGAGTATGATTATAAAAAATTCAAAACTCAATCTAGTCTAGAATAAAATGACTATCATTTAGTTACAATTTTAATTTGAAACATTTACGTCATAGGTAAAAGTAAAAAAAAAGATCATATAATAACCACATCAATAGGAAAGGAAAAACAACATCTTATCAATATAAAATTAAAATATTTTTCATTTTACAATAAATAAATCATAAAAACAATTTTATAATACTAATGAGTTATACTTACACATACTTGGGATACAAAAAATTCTAAACCATAAAAAAAAAGTTAATTGAGATTGCACTAATTTTAATTTTAGTCATCAAGTCAAATTAATGTTTTTCAACTTTAAAACTATAAATATCAAACAATTTAAAATTTATGTTATTTTATTTGAATTATGGTTCAATACCAAGTAAAAAATTAAATCTCCAATTTAACTTTAATATTAACTATCAAAACCAACCTAAGGAATACTTATTCTCATTACTATTTCACATACATTAACTAATTCAATAACCAATGACAAAAACTTACTAGTTTTAATATGGTAAAAATACCACAAGCAGAATCGATGGTGAAATAAATTAAATACTTATTTTTAATTTAATTTCGAGTACGATTTTCTAAACTTTTTCCAATAATTATATTCGCTGATCCACTGGAAATAAAAATAATTAAAGTATGTACGACACTAATGACCTAAAACGGTAATCAGTCGGTCTAGACACTGGTGACCGGAATTGAGAAAACGGGACGGGTAACGATGGAAATGAACATTAAGGGACAAACCACAGTAGTTTCTACCAGTAGTGATCGTGGTGATGTTTCATAATAATTATCGTATGATACTGTTACCCTGCAGTGACATACGTCTGTAGTGTACAGTAACATGCGTGATACCTATGGGACAATTGACCACACTGTATAAATTAGATAAACACCTACTGAATATACCCGCCATTATTTAAACTTTTAATGATAAATGAATAAATTTATTGAACATTAACAATATACGGCAATTTAAAAAAAATGACGGATGATGTTTTATTACTATATTGATAATATTATACAATTTAAATTTAACTTGTTCATTAATAATGCATATTATCATACAGTTTACAATAAGCCATATCGTACCATACCAAGAAATTAATTTACAAATATGGTAAAACCTACATAAACTATTTTACAAGTTTTATTACTCATTTAAATTAGTTAATATAATTTTTCATAAAATTTTATTGAAAAGTAATTTCATTTTCAGCAATTACTTTTTTAATACTAGCTAGTACTTTCAACTTAAAATAAACGGTGAAAGTACCACATTGTTACGAGAAATATAAATATCAATCTTTAAGCGATTTACACAGTAACATAAAACGTTAAGGGTTTTGTATGGAAAACCTATTTTTAAATGCTATATTAAAATATTTTGATTGTTTTTTTAATATCTTGTAAGTATTATATTATATTTCTTCTGTAATAATTATCAGTGTTACATCCTTTCATTTCTCGAATATAATATATGTTAGGGATGACAATGATGTATGAGTATTATGACTGGCTTGTACCAGACACCAGCAATGAGAAAATCACAAGATAAGTCTTGTTGGCACCCTGGGGATCGAACCCGGGACCCTGTGCGCTGAAACATACGTTTTCACCCACAAAGCCAGATCGATCCCTTATCATAATCCCTCATTAATTTTTTAAATCCTCGTAAATAAAACATTGCATAACTAGTGCCCAGGACCATGTACCAATGATTAAAAATATATTTGATAAACAACACATCATCAATACAATTTAACATTTATTAACAAACATATTTTATATTTAATATACAATTTAATAATATCCAACATTTTTAGTCTGAATTTTCATCTATAATTCCTTTTACTTTTTTTGTTTTACAATTATTTTTCACTTCAATACCAATTAAAATAGAATTTTTCATTTCATCCATATTTATAGATCGAGTAGAAAATTTAGGACATTTTATATTAGGTCCATAATATTCATAAGTAGGAGGTGGAGCAACTTCGGCTCCTATTTTAGGTTCTGAAGGTAAAGGAATACTATCCAAATAATTTTCTATGTTCATCGTTTTACTTTTGGTAGTATTTGATTCATCATCTAATTCATTTTTAATGGGTTGATTATAATTTTTAACCTTAACCGAACACTGTTCCTCAATATTATTTGATTTTGTGAACATATCTAAAGATGGACCAACCATGTCGTCCTCGTCGGAGCTATGCTCACTCTTACTGACTGATTTTGATGTCTCAGAATAATCCCAAGAAAATTCGGTACGCCTTTCACTACGTTGTTTTTCATTCCATTCATCTTGAGTCATAACTAAAAATAAATTATTAAGTTATAAACATAAGCTGTACATAATTTTTATCTATTAAAAAAAACTTATTTAAATATTTACGTGGTTTTTGAACTCCGTCTTTTCCGTAATCCCAAGGTCTAACGTGAGCAGCTTTTCTTAACTTCTCAAATGCCTGTTGTGCTTTAATGTCTTCAATAATTTCCGGAGAAGGGCTTTTAGGAGGCAATACTTGCTCTTCGTCTGAAAATTTAAGTTTAATATAATAAAAAAATTTTAAAGACCGAAATAAATCAGATTTTTTTGAAGCCAATAAAAACCTTCAAGGTTATAAATAAATTCACAATTAATGATTGAAATACAAATCAGCAATGTTAAATTAATTTTTGAAGTAATTAATTATATATATAAGTACTTTACAACAAAATCAATCAGAAGTGGATTTAGGGATGTGACGATTGGGTGCTGTAGTGTTATTAAATTGTAAGTTCCCCTTTTTTGCTCTAGATTTAAAAAAAAATATATATGACAGGTAAAAAGTCATAAAATTTTAAAATGGTCACTAAAAAATAATTTACAGAAGTAACCAATTTGTTTTCAGAGTATATGGTTGAATAGGTCGACGTGAGTTTCAATATATTCTTTTATAATTAAGAAGATAATATTAAAACTCAAAAAATCACGACTATACAATATATTTTCTACTTATCATTTTTATTAAAAAGTGTTATAAAATAATTAATTTTTTTTTTATGAACTAATTCTGAATATGAACTGTCATAAATAATTTAAGAGAAGGTAAAAATGTGATTTTTTAAACAATTAAAAAAAATAGTTTTTTTATAAAAATATTGTGATAATATTAAAATTTTGAGCATTTCATGTTTTTTTACTGTTCACAGTACCTATAATAATACTAGCTATGTTAGAAATATAAAAACTTTAATTTTAAAATCCTAATAAAAATTCTTAACAGCCATAAAAAAAATTATAAACATAGATTTAACCTAAAAAAAAGTGACAGGGAAAAGTTCAGATTTTTTTTTTGTAAAATGACCGTCAAAATTAACTTTGAAGTTAATAACTTATACTCAATGATTACATTATTTTTAAACTAACACGATAGTTAAAATTTGACAAACCTGAACTTGAGTCTAATGGAAGACCAAGTTTTTCTTTTTTACGTCGTTTAACAGCTTTAAGTCGTGCTGCCATTTGTGCTGCACGTTTTTCTTTCAATTTCTGTACCGCACTTTGCGTTTCTTTAGTTTCTTCGCGAATCTTTTTTAATTCAGCTTGTTGTCGATGACGTTCTTTTTCGTCTGTTGAAAAAGCATAATATCCAACTCCATGTTCTCTGACCTCTATAAAACGAAAAATATAAATGTTATGAGAGCTAGCTTGTCAACAAGATGTATAAATAAAACCATAATTTTTTAATACTTTAAAGACAGCTTCTTTTAAACAAACTTAATATTATGACAATAATCAAATAATTTTTCAGTATGGTACAAATAGACAATTATTTTTACTATTTTATTTTTTCATGATAAAGGCACACTAAAAAATATATTTAATACACAGTATTCTATGTATATAATATTTAGTTCAACGTTTCCTAATAATAACAAATAATAAATTCAATTTATTAGATACTTATTTATTCAAATTTATATCTAAAAAGTATATTTTAATCTAAAAAATCTTTTAATTTTTCTATTCATATCAATGTTGTAGTTTTAATGCATTAGTTATTTAAATAGAAAATTTGTTGAAAAAAAAATTACATTACGCTCACTTGCTCCAAAAAATTATTGAAAGGATTTTTAGTTGTATAAATTAACTACGCTAACCCAACCCAACCCGTGTGATTATTTATCCTTGTTAGATAAAAGAAAACCCAGCGATAATTGTAAAAAATAGACATTGATTAACTATAAATAAATATACCATTCCATAAAAATTGTATGCAACATTTTTTCGGACTTGTTAGGATTACTATATGATAAAATATTTAATTTTAATTACTCACTAAAAAATTTAAGTTTTATCTTTTATATTAAATAATTTCTCATGTTAAAAATCCGTATAGTATAATCATTAAAAATAAAATCATCAGTGATGAAGTATAAAATGTTTAATAATAATGGATTTATTAAAATCTGTTATGAATAGATCGCGGATTTATAAGCATTAATAACTTTGTTAAGTAATTCGGAACAAACCAACAGCCAGTACAAACTTTTATTGATTGACTTTATAATACGATGTTATCGAGGTTATAGCATCAAGAGAATTAAGAGTGTTTATCCCCCCAAAAATAAAAAATATTTCTACCCTACTATATAATCTTACAACGAAGTTGCACAAACTTCGGATCCTTCAAAGTGACTTAAATAAAAATTTTAAATGCATATAATTTCGAATCCTAGTTATGATTCACCAGCAATCAAAATATTATTGTAATTATTTGTTGTATTAATTTTGAATCAAATGAAAACAAATCACTTCATATGTTGTAGTGCGTAATCAAATTTATTTAATTTGATTTTTCTTCTCAATTCGTATATTATACTTTCTTATAGTAATTATATTAATTATACTTGATTGATTGATTAAAAAATAAAATGAAATAAATAATTAAATCGATGGCAAGAGGCCGTGAATTAAAAAACAAATTGCATTGTTTATTTGATATATAGATTAAAGTAAGCAACATATTAAATTTAATAAATTATAATATTATTACATCAATGTTACAAATATTAGCTTTTGATTAATTGTTTGTGTAACAGTATAATAAATTGTATGAATCGACCCTATGGTATGGTGTGCCGTCACCATGACGGGTAGCAGAAAGGAGGAAATTGCGAGAGGGAGTTTAGTTGATTTCTCAAATGTATAACTGCACTAGCATATCCATAATGTATTGTTTTCAGTAATCGCGTGAACAGCATAGAGGAATGTCTCTCACACTGTTTCATATTTTGTAATAAGAAAATTATTTACTACATTGTTCGAAAAAAATAATTAGTTTATCAAGTTAACTATGCTATATTTATTATTAATGAAAACTTAAAGTTTCGATTCTGCTAAATTCCTAAGATAATGTTCTTTGGGACTCGATGGACAAAATTTGCTATTATGTGGCTCATAACAACTAGTAAGTTTACATTAATCGTTAAAATCGCAATATCTGTGATATGTATCAATCCTAAAATTTTATTTTAAATACCTGCACCACATCATATTAGAATTAAAATTCGATTAAATAATACTAAATTATTGTAGTGCATTGAGTATATATATCATTATTATTGGATTTATATAATATGTACAACATAGTCTATTACATATATTAAAGATGTAAAAATTGTGCATGCTAAAATTAACATATCACTAATTGAAGATGTAATAGAAAAGAACTTTTTGAAAAAAGTATTTTATTCGGAAAAAATGATAACACGCTTTATTTCAATTTATCTAGAAATCCAAACAATATTCACGAAAAAATGTAAATAAAAAACAAAACCAGTTCTTATAGTTCGTTTATCATTTTCTTACCTAATAGTATTTTATAATTTTATTCAATATAACCAAATGAAATAATTAACTTACATACTAAGCATAATTTATATTAAAACTCTGTAAGTTATGTAAATTTAAATATAAACCTAAATGTTCTAGCATTAGTTATAATCATAAATTGAAGTCAGTTTTCTAAAAAAATATTTTTTATTTTTTAATAACCTTTCATATAGTGTAAAGCAATAGTATTTAAAAAATATATTCCATATGTATAAGAAACAATAAAAGACTAATCACATTAATATACATAAAAGGTCAGTAAAAATTTAAGGTCGACTTATTGAGTTAATTGAAACATACAAAACAAAGATTCCTAATCATAATATAAAACTCAATTTTAGCATATTGACACATAGTAAATCAAAGAGTGTAAACAAATTATTAATTGTCTACATTCCAAGTTTAAAAGCAAATAAATAGTATTATACTTAAATTTTATAAATTAAAAATAAATAATATTCTTGTAAAATTAATATTTACAAAATATAAATAACAGTTATATTTAAATTTAACATATGTAGTTTACTACTCATCAATGTTATTCTCTCTTTATAATTAAATCTATTGTATAATAAAACTAAGAGAAAATTGTCAATCCTGTAAAACTTACTTAATACGATCTGCATTTTTTTTATGAAAGAAATCGGCAACATTAACCTTCTAAAAATTATTTTATTTACTTATTACTTATTTATTCTACTATCGGAAAAAAGTTTTAGCACTTCATGAGCATTTGAAACTTTTAGTTTTAGCTTCTATGTGAAGCTGAAAAGGTAGTGGTTTTGTGACGGTCAGTGCTTTTAGCTTCGATGCGAAGCTGAGAAGGTATTGGTTTTACTAAGATGTGTTTTTTTTTTTTTTGTGTCTGTTACCACTTTTTCCCAGCTCTCACCGAACCGATTTCTTTCAATGATACGTCAAAAGATCACAAATCGTATCTAGTCGAAGACATTACCCTTAAAAATTGAAAAAAATTCCCTCGTTCCCCGTAAAAGGGGGAAACCTCCAAAAAAATTACAAATTTAAAAATCGCTAATTTTCGAAATTTTTTCAATTTTTTTTACTTAAAAGTGCCATAACTTTTTCAAAAATAAACATATCAATATAATTCTTTTTTATATAGATGCATAATATCATTACCTTTCATTTGGTATATTTTTTTCATAAATTTAACCCTTAACCTGCCCACAAGGGGGGATTTAAAATGACAACTTTTTCACAAAAAATTAATTTTTTTAACTTAAATTTTGAAAATGTTCCGGAAGGTCTGACACTTTTATATATATCTTAAATTAAAGCTAATGTAATATGCTTTATCATGAAAAAAAAAAATTTCGGACTTTATCTTATCTTCATGGTGAAAATGGCTACCGAATGCTATTTTTGTGTGAAAATTTTCGATTTTGTATTTTCCATTTTTAACTTTATTATGCTATAACTTTTTGAAAAATGTATGAATCATTACAATTTTTTTATGAGAAGTAGTATTTATATAGATCTTTCATTCGACATACTGTTTTTTTAAATCGGACCATTTCCCTAAATACAGGGGGGATTCAAAACATAAAAATGCATATAGAAAGTAGAACTTTTTCAACGTAACTTTTGAAAGTGTTCCGGAAGGTCTGACACTTTTATATATATCTTAAATTAAAGCTAATGTAATATACTTTATAATGGTAAAAAAAAATTTCGGACTTTATTTTATCTTCATGGTGAAAACAGACATTAAACTTAATAAAAAAAATACGATTTTTGTAAAAAAATTCTTTTTTATATTTTTAACTTTATAATGCTATAACTTCTCGAAAGATGTATGGATCAATATAATTCTTTTTTTTGTAGATGCATGATGTCTTTACCTATCATTTGGTATATTTTTTTTATAAATCTGACTTTTTACCTGCCTACAGGGGGGGATTCAAAATGACAACTTTTTCACAAAAAATTGACTTTTTCAACTTAAATTTTGAAAGTGTTCCGGAAAGTCTGACACTTTTATATATATCTTAAATTAAAGCTAATGTAATATACTTTATCATGGAAAAAAAAAATTTCGGACTTTATTTTATCTTCAAGGTGAAAATGGCTACCAAATGCTATTATTGTGTGAAAATTCTCAATTTTTTTTTTTACATTTTTAACATTATAATGCTATAACTTATTGAAAAGTGTATTGATCAATATAATTTTTTTATGGGAAATACTATTTTCTAATAATCTCTTTTTTATTCTACATACTTTGTCTTAATCAGGATATTAATAAGGAACTAGCAGTTTATGAAGCTTTTGGAATAATCCACCAATTTTTTAAAATTAAACACTATCTAAAGATTTGCATCGAAGCGTTTTTTTTTTATAGTGATTTTAATCACTGTCAGATATCATTATACTTGATCCAACTATGCCACGTAACCACTGTGCCGCGACCCCCCTGTGCTGGGTTTTTTTATATTGTACCACGAAAAATCTCAACTTTTACACAACCGATTTTAATAATCAATATGACCAAAGAAATTGAAAAATAACATTTTTCAAAATACTAGCAAATATAAAAGCAATATTATCAATAAGCCCGACAAATAATAAAAATCCTTTAACAATATATTTAATTTTGGGTTTGTAGTCAGTATTTTTTAAATTTATAATTAACGACATTTAAAGCATTTAAATATAAAATAAAAATACAAAAAAAAAAGTATTTAGAATACCATTCAAATATATATATATATATATTAAGTATTCAGAATAAAGAAAATATACAAAAATACTTTCATTAGAATATTTTACAATACTAGAATATTAAGAGCGTATTATTTAAAAAAAACCTTAATACTTATCATCACTAAAATAAAAATATTTAAAATTATTTTATAGTTTTACGTGAAATAAATGTGATAATAATTGGATCAGCAAAACAAAATTAATATTAATTTTTAACTAAAAGAATTAGCCCTTATTCGTCATAAATGAACTTATATTTGGTCAAGATCATATTACGAATATTTGGGGTCAATTTAAATACCAATATTAACCAGGGTTGGCATTAGATTAAATTTTTATTAATAAGGATTTTTTTTTTAGTAATTTACTTGATTTACAAGACCATCCAAAGCGAGGAGCCTCGTCATGGAGTACTCCATGTAAAGTGTACACTTTACACACCCCTTGCGCCGACTCTGATTTCAACTTTAATATTAAAGTTATTTTATGGATTACTTTACAGGAATTAGTTACGCGTTGGACTTTTATTCTCTTAACGTAATAATTTAAAATGAGTTAAAATAAACATCTTTTGATAAATTAATCTATTTACTAAAAAAATTGCAATTTTTACCACAGAAAAATTATGTTCCCTTAGCGCCAAATTTTTAAAATACATCCTTGATAAAATGTATAGCCCATTTATCACTCCAGTATATTAATAACTATTATTAATATATTTTTTAATACATTTTCAATACCAAATTATTTTAAATATCAACCCCTTATAACGCCCCCCCTCCCCTCAAGAATGTTAAGGCAAATTTTTCAGTAATTTTCATAGGCCTGTGGTGGGAACAGAGATGGGTCGATCACCTCTAAGTGCTATTGATACCCAAATTTTATGTTTAATATATCACTCGAGACATTTTTTTATTTTTAATAAATTAAGAAAAAAATGTTCATCAACATTGTTACAGCAATGAATCGTTCTTCTCCTACTAACACAATATAAAAACACTTATATCTTTTAAAATATATAAGTTAAGGTAATGCAAATAATCCAATAAGATATAGTATCAATGGGTAGATTAATTAGCATTATAATTGTTAAATAATAGTAGATTTTAGACATATTATATCGTAAACTTATTTTTCAACGCTAAGAAATAGCTAATGAAACTGGATTTTTTTTTAAATATTTAAACTTAGATATTTATAAATGTTTTATCTATTTAATGTACTATTGAAAACTTCAAGAAGCGAGTCCATTTGCGTGGGCTAAGGAAAGTCGTAAATCCCAGTTTTCCAATAATTTATGATTAAAATATGAAGATAAGTCATATTTAAAATCTTAAAAATGAAAAACTGGATTCGGTTGGTCTGCAAATAATTGTACGCCAAATTAATAACCTCTAATATTATGAAATTATTTACTATTCACTCAATGATCATGACTAGTTAACTAATAAATAAGTTACTGCTAGATTACAGTAATAAAATAAACGCCATCTTTCTTTATTTCACTAGGTCGATGAAGATAGGAATTTTCGTAACTTTATACCATTGATACTAAATTATTAGTATATTCAATCAACACTAAATTATTTATTCTTGAAATAGAACAGCTTATTTTTCTAAAATTCTTAAAATAGTCTGCGATACTGATCATTGTATTAATGATAAAAAAATAGACACTGCCTAGTACATTTAAAAGATAAATTAAGCCTACTTTAAAAATAATAATATTTAAATATATTTTAAAATGTAAAAATTTTAGTAAACAAGACTATTTACTTTTTAAGGAGCAAAGTTCCTCATTTTAAATGATAAATATTAAAAAAATAAAAGACATACATTTAACAATTTTTTTCTTATGTATATCCCTCCAAAACAAAACCCTTACTATACTACATAGATGTACGAAACCAGGGAAACGTCGCTCGCCAAGCCTTTGCACTAACACTAATTGTGTATAAATCGTTACTGAAAAATTTATTGAATTAAAAATGAATTTATTAAATACAAATTTATTGAAAGGTGTATTATAAAGATTTAAATTTAGTATACAGAGTGTTCAGTATGTAAGGAAACATATCAATTATTATAAACAAAGAGAACAAAAGAAACTTGTTTCCTCACTTACTAAACACTCTGTATATATATATATGTGTGTATCGGATCTAAATATATAATGTATAAGCATAAAGTAAGCAACATTCATTCTTCGCCTTCAATCTATACTTTAAAATACTTAGAACTTCCATTGACTTGTCCAAAAATTGTTAATAACCAATAATTTTCTTAAATAAATAATTTTATATTTTATAAGCTAAATTAATACATGTGATACTATTAAAAAAAAATAAAGTTGACACCCTTAGAATTTTTTAAGAGGCTGGCATTAAAAAAATTTACTTTGTATGTATATTTTAAAAAAAATATGGACCCCTGTTCAGATACAGTTTTGAATATGATTATTATTTCGTCTAAAAAAAATTGAATAGTGTTAATGTTGACTGTATCTAAAATATCTATTAAGATGAAAATTTTAATATTATTATAAGGTATTATACAATTATTGAGAATGAATATATTATCATATTATAACTTAAAATATAAAGGTTGGACATTATGATTTCAGTTAGTTATAGTTAGTTAGTATAGTTTAATTAACGAACAAATATGATTAAAATATAAGGTACATCAGACTTAAACTCAATAGTTAAAATTATACATTATGCAAATCAGAAAATGTCAAGACAAAGCAAGAGCTAATAAATCTATGAAATCGAATTAAATTTGTATTAATTAATTTTTTTTATTTGCTTTGATTATAATTTAAATATTAAACAGCCAAAAATTATGAAAAAAAAATTCAACTAATGAGAATTGCCTTTTAACACGAATAAAATAGAAATTAATTTACAAAATTAAAAATATAATACCAAAAAAACTAAATTTTCTATTTATATTTTTCTTGACTTTTGCCTAAATAAACAAAAAAATTCTTTACACATTTAGTATCAAGTTTTTGACAATTAACAATACTAATAAGAGTTAATTATACAATATTATGTTATGTTATGTATTCATGGTCTAAATTTTCAAAAGATAATTGAACCCATTCCAAAGGAGGATTTTAGAGGGCTTTTGTATATCATTGAAAATATTTTGTCATTAATGTAAGCAATTTTCATTAAATGAGGTTGCTAATAAAAAAAATTTCACAAAAAAAATATTCAGTAAGTAAAAAAATGTGTTTCATCCTCTTCTCTATATTTTTAGTTTTGGAAAACTCTAAAAAGTCTAGTTCAATAACAGGTTGTCTCCGGTATTTTTGAAATTCATAATTTTACATTTTCGGATATAAAGCATATTTCTGAACAGTTTAATGTGATCACCAGATACATTTATTTGCCAAATTAGCTAATATCAATGGTCTAGAGGTATCTCCACATATTAAGCAGGATACCATTCCTCGCCCAAAATTAATGACTTGACAACAAAAAGTGTATTGAAAATCACATTAAAAAAAAAAGCATGGTATGATACTGGATCCCACAACCATAGGCGACATAGAAAAGCCAAACCACTAGGCTAACACTTATTTATTTTCACATGATAATACATTTTTGTATAGGTTGATAACTTGGTTTGCGGTTGGGGGAATATCGATTAATGCATGTAAATATCTCTAATATACACAGTATATTACTTAAAATGTTTAATATTTTGCATTTTCTAAACAATTTTGACTAATAAAGCTAATTATTTCTACTTAAACTTTTTGGTTTAAATGTAGTTTCACATAATATTTTTTTATACAAACACATAGAACGTAAATAATAGCAAACTTTTAGAAGTTTAAATTTAATATTATGTCTAAAATCAATCTTTAATAAAAAATAATGCATGAAAAAAATGAAACCTTTAAATTATTTTAAATTAATATTTTTAAATTTTTTTAATTTAAAAGGTATATTTAAATAATAAAGAAAATTTCTTTTAATTTACAGACTTTGTTAATTCTGCATCCTTAATAAATGGATTAATATGCTACATTTGTAACCCACAGCCATTATCCGATAATACAGAAAGTTTTGAAACTCACATAACTTTTCCAAGTATTGATATTCAAACTATACCAATTTGTGGAACTAACGAAGCTAAAAATTTTACCTTAATATGTCCTAGAAGATATCAAGGATGTCTAACTAAAATTTATGGTAAAAAAATAGGAATATAATATTTATGATAAAATAACATAAAAATATTTTTTTTAAGGCAATACAGTTTTGAAAACCTGTCACGAACAAGCAATTGTTGATTGCAAAATTGCAAATAATGTAAAATATTGTTTTTGTGATAGCAACAAATGTAACAATGAGACTGTTTTATCAATTCCAATTATATCAGATGATGAAGATTTAGATCAAACCACAGATGATGGAAGTGGGTTATATGATTACTGGACTGAATTAAATAACAAACAAACAATAGTTCAAAATATTACTACCAAAAAGTCATTAAATTCTATTTTTATTCAAAATGAACCAATGTTTGATAATTCTAATGCTGCATTAGTTAATGCTAAAACATTTTTAGTTATTATTTGTATAATTTTAAACAATGTTATTTTAAATTTGTGAAGTTTTACTTATTTTAATATATAAAAAAATATACTATAAAAAATATATTGTTAAAATTTAGTAACACAGTCTGAATAACTTCTTAGGAAATTTTTTAGATAACAAATGAAATTTAAATAATTAGTATTATTTATTATATTAAAATAATAAATGTTTAATAATTCATACAATGATAAAATTTTAATTAGGAAAATTTAAACCAAAAATGACATTAAGAAAAAATATAGATTTTAAAAATTAAAAAATTAAAAATTAAATTCCCTGTGGATAGGGGCTAAGAATACTTCCATGGCCCCCCTGCAAGTTGTAATAAGCGACTAATGAGGTTGAGTCAGGTCATAAAAATTATTGTAAAAAAAGTATGAGGAATCCTGAACAAAACTTAGGCGGATTGCCCCATCTCGGATATAAGCGGGAACAACATAAAGTAGTTAAAAACGGAGAAGGCCTAAGGAATAAAGTATTTGATACCAGCCAGACAACTTGTGCGGTAGCTGTTTCACCAGTCATGTGTACAGGTCTACCCAACCCTTGTAGTGTCAACGGTGTAGGGACATCACCACATAACTCGAGGCTGGACTTGTGTATAAGGGGGAAAGATAGATACAAAGTAAGAATAGGTACTTGGAATGTTGGAACATTAACTGGTAGAAGTAGAAAATTAGTAGAAGTACTGAAGAGGATAAAAGTTAACATTTTTTGTGTGCAGAAAACTAAGTGGAGAGGAGAGAAATCAAGGGAAATAGGTGAGCGTTATAAAATAATATATTCAGGGAAGTATAGTACAAAGAATGGTGTAGGGATAATAATAGATGAGGAAATGAAAAGAGTAAAGTAGTAGAAGTAACTAGGAAAAGTGACAGAATTATGGTCGTGAAATTGATATTCGAGGAAAAAGTGCTGAATGTAATAAGTGCCTATGTACCACAAGTAGGATGTGATGAAATAGACAAGGAAGTGCTTTGGAGAGTAATAGATGAGGTGATGCAAGGGGTACCTGGCAATGAGGATGCAGTGATTGGTGGAGATATAAATGGACATGTAGATAATGAGAGGAGAGGATATGAAAGAGTATATGAAGGGTATAGTTTTAGTGGGAAAAATGAGGCTGGAGAAGGAATCCTAGATTTTGCAGTATCGTATCATCTTGCTGTGATAAATACTTATTTTAGAAAGAGGGAAGAACATTATATAACTTATAAGACATGGGAGGAATAGATCACAGATTGATTATTTTATGTGGAAGAGAGAGAGCGTAAAGTGAGTAAAGTATTGTAAAATTATTCCAGACGAGAGTGTAACTACACAGTATAGATTGATGGTAATGGAGTTTTGGTGTACCGGGAAAAGAATATACAAAAACAGAAGGAACACGGGAGAAAAATCAAAAATCCGTTGCTAGAAATTGAAAGAGGAAAATGAAAAAGAGTTTGTCAAGACGGTAAAAAAGAAGACCGTGCGGATGTCGATGGAGACATAAATGATGTTTGGAATAGATTTGCTAGTTGTGTTAAGAATATTGCAAAGGAGATTGTTGGTGAGAGTAGAATGCCAGGAAACAAGGAAACCTGACGATGGGATGAGGACATTCAAGAAATCATAGAAAGTAAGAAAAAGCAATTCAAAGTATGGCAGAAGAGCAAAAGGAGAGAAGATTGGATAGAGTATAAACGCATATGCAAAGAAGCCAAGTGTGCAGTAAGTAAGGCGATATTAAAGAGATATGATGAGTTGTGTGATAGGTTGGGATTTATGCCTTGAAGTTAACAATGGAGCCATTATTTTGTGTGAGGCGACTAATAGAAAAGTTTAGGGAAAAAAAGAAAAAGATTTGTATGGTATTTATAGATTTGGAGAAAGCGTATGATAGAGTACCAAGAGAGGTTCTAAATTGGGCATTAATGAGAAAAGGAGCCCAGTAAAGGTACATTAATATAATAGAGGATATGTATGATGGCACTTGTACTAGGGTAAAAAGTGTGGGAGGAGTAACAGAAGGTTTTCGGGTAAGAGTAGGAGTGCATCAGGGTTCTGCTTTAAGCCCTTCCTTATTTTCTATAGTGATGGATGAAATTACTAGAGAAATACAAGGAGAGGTGCCGTGGTGCATGTTGTTTGCTGACGATATAATGTTAATAGGAGAAAATAGGGAGGAAATTAATCAAAGGCTAGAGGTGTGGAGATCAGCTCTTGAAGAAAAGGGTTTAAGAATAAGTAGGAGTAAGACAGAGTATACAGAGTACGAGTTTGATAAAGGAGAACACGAGTTGGGTGAAATAAGGAGCCCAGTAACAATAGGCGAAGACGTGATTGGAGAGGTGGAAAGTTTTAAGTATTTAGGTTCAGTCGTGTAAAAAAGCGGTGGTATTAACAAGGATGTAAGACACAGGATTAAGTGAGGGTGGTTGAAGTGTAGAGAAGCGTCTGATGTCTTATGTGATAAAAGAATTCCTATGAGACTGAAAGATAAATTCTACAAGACTGTAGTGAGACTAGCTATGATGTATGGTTCAGAGTGTTGGGCAGTTGATAAGAAAGTATAGATGTAGAGTCAATCGTAGATAAGATGAGAGAAAATAGACTTAGATCATTTATCATGTTATGAGAAGAGAAGAATTGGAAGCCGTAACAACAGTTGTAGAAATGAATGTCAAAAGAAGAAGAGGTAAGAGCAGACCAAAAAAGAGATGGAGAGATGTTATTGAATGCGATATGAGGACAGCTGAAGTAAGCGTAGAGAATGAGGGAGATCGTGTCAAGTAGAAGTTTAGGAAAAGGGTGGTTGACCCCAAGTAGTTGGGATTAAGGCGAGGAAGAAGAAGAAGAAGATAGATTTTAAAAATTAAAAATAATTGGGATTTTACTACAAAAATATGTTAATTTATGTTCCATTAACTTTAAATACCTAAATTTCTTTTTGAAATTAATTTCAAGTAAAAAAAACATAGGGAATTCAGTTATTATTTTGAAAAATAACATTCATTTAACCTAAGCAAGATGAGGAGTGAGGCCAAGAAATGTTTAGTGATAATAATATTAACATCCACTCCTCACCTCTAGTCATTACATTAAATTGTTAATAACTTTTGAAGAACTAGTCTAAAAATTGTTATCAACCAGTCATTTTTATAATTAGATCATTTTCTACTTAATAAGCTAATTTAATATGTATATTTACATTAAAAAAATTAAGTTGACACCCATATAAGATATACGGGATGTACATAAAACATATTTTATAACAGATAAATGGATATACAAATGTAACTAACAAAAGCAAAAAAAAAAACATTATTTTAAGAGAAATTATATGGCTAGCATTAAATAAATCATCTTGTATAACTTACCATCAAATCTTATATCTTCATAATGAATATCAGTTCTGTCAGCTAATTTACGTTCTTCTTCTTCCCATTTCAAGCGTAATTGTTCTCTACGCATGTCTGAAAAATTAAGTTCAGATTCATTTACTGAACTCATTCCTTCTTTCACAAACTTTTGTTCTTTTGAAATATCATTTGATTTTATGTTATTAGGAGGAGGCCCTAATTCATTTTCTATCCTTTGATCTCTTTTTTTAAAAAATTCCAAGTCTACTTTTAAACAACGTCTGGTACGTCCAAAAAAATCTGTATAATCAACCCTAGAAAAAATATTTTTAGTTATAAATATTATAAATATTTTTATAAAGACATGAAATACTTTTATATTTTTATAATAAAAATATTTTTTAATTTTTTTCTTTTTTTATTCAACAGTAAATGTAAGATAAGTAAAACCTCTATACATTTTATCTACTATCTACAAATGAAAACATTATCATTTACCATGTTATAAACCTGTCGAAATAAAAAAGAAATTTTTTTGAAAATAGATCAAATGATCATTATTGTTTTACAGAACCAAATGTCCAAAAATGTCCATGAAACCCTGAGTATTGTTTAGAAAAAACTTTCAACATTTGGATTAATTAAAAAATAATTTCCAATAAAAATTAAATTTTTTCTAAAGTATAAAAAGAATTGTACATTCTTTTATTTTGTAGAACTATTTTCACAAAATAATTACTTTTTAAATCATACTTAAGATTTTAATTTAACTTATAAATAATTAAAAGCAATCACTTTAGCTTTTATTAACTTATTTAATAGACCTAAAATAAGAAAATTAAATAATCAGTTTTACATTCTTCTATTTCCCAAACTTAACATGCTACAGAGTTGTGGCCCTGTTTTACATGTTAGGAAGTCAAATATGGTTCTTGGCTAGGCCAATGAACGAGATGGATATTATGACTGCTTTGCATCAGACATCAGATACCAACAATAAGAAAATCACAAGATAAGTCTTGTTGGCACCCTGAGGACTGAACACAGGACCTCATGTGTTGAAACAATAATTTCATAGATATTTTATATCATTAGATATTTAGATATTCATTAGTACAAATATTAATGTAATAATTTTTTTTTTAATGTACAAATGTACTTTACTTACCAATCGTCATCATCACCAAAATCAAATTTATCTAATTCAACATCAGAATTACAAATTTTCTCTTTTTTTTCAAGTGTAGAACAATCTTTAAGAGCAACATCATTGACTTTTTGTTTAAAATTAACTAGAAATGTTTTATCTTGCTCAGGAATCATTTCACCACTAACTAATTTATCGTAAAGTAATGATTTCATAGCCAAAATATCCCTAAAAGTTATAAGAATATTATAAAAAGATTATGTTAATAATAAGCATAACAAAGATAAAACATACAAATAGACATAATTGAGCTTAAAATAATTATGTATTTTTGTATAATATTACTAAGTAATTAGTTTTACATTTCAATAGGTAAATATATTTAATATCAAATTAATGAAAAAATTTAAATGACCTTAAAGTTAATGTATATAAGGTTTTAAAAAATATGTTATGAAAAAAAAGAAATTCACTGATTAATACAAATATCTTTGATATTAAAAAATTTTGGTTAACTCAAAACACTGAAATAAGGTCATTCTTTGAAAAATAATTCACTATTTTATTGAGTTCATATTGCAATATACATTCTTATTTAATTATACTGAATATAGTTTTTACATATTCAACCAATCTTAGTTTTCAAGTTATTAAATATCCTTAAAAATTACCTAGATTTTTTTAAACTGTTATCAATACTCGGTTCAAATTCTTGTTCCATATCTTTAGCATTTCTTTTTTGAACACCTTCATTTGATTGTAGAAGACACGAAGGAGTTTTAGCGCCAGGTATAGGTCGAATAAATGTATCACCAGAAAAGCTTTTAGCTTTATTAGCTTCATCTTGTTTTCGCAAAAGTTCAGCTTTCAAACTGACCAACTAAAACATAAAAAGTAAACTACTAAGAAATATTTAATAAGAATTTAAAAATACAAATTAAATAATAATGCACTATACCAATTACGATTGTTACTCAACAAGTGAACTCCAATTCACAAGACTTAAGGAGTACTTAAAAGTACTTTTAGTCATTTAAAAAAATTTGAATTTATAAGATGGATTTTAAGAATAAATTACAATTCCCATATACCCTGCATAAAATATAGGAAGTTTAAGACAAGGACATATATATACAGAGTGATTCTTTTAATACTAGCCATTTAGTTTTTTTTTGCTTTTATTAGTTACATATGTATCTCCATTTATCTGTTATATATTTTAAATGTTCATCTTTTATGTCTTATAAAGGTGCCACCATTATTTTTTTAAATGGCAACATGCATATTTAACTAGTTTATAAAATAGAAAATTATATAATTAAGATTAATGGTCGATTATTTAATAAGTTATTAACAATTTAAAATTATGACTGGAGGTGAGGTGTGGGTGCTGTCATTTTTATCACTAGACATTTCTCATTCTCACCTCTCACCTATATATAAAAATGTTAATAACTTTTGAAATACTGATCGTTACTATAATTAAAAACAAATTTTTATGACTTGGAAAATGTATGTATCGTATAAATAATCTTATTAAAAAAATGACTGATCAATAACCACTGTTGGACCAGTATTTCAGAAGTTATTAATAATTTAATATTAACACTCTACATCCCGTCTAGATATAAAAATGTTCAATAAGTGATGAACATTAAAAATATTATATAATAGATATATAGAAATAAATATGCAATTAACTACCAAAAAAAAATTTCTTATAAGAGAAATTGAGAGGCTAACATTAAAAGAATTACGATGTACACTCACAAATATTTTTGATAATTATGGCTAAATATTACAAGACTTAACCTTAATTATCATAATATTTTTAAATTAATAAATGAACAAAACTAGTAAGTTGAGCTATTCATAATGAATAGCTCGTAATGAACTATTACAACTTAACAAATAATTATTGTGATAACGCTAACAAAAAAATTATACCAAGTATCATATCATACTCAAAACAGTTAACTTCCTAGAATTATGTAATCATTAATCATTACATTATGTATAACACCTTCATTATTAGCTATTGACTGTACCAGAGAAAACTGGAATATATATATAGCCCCGTAAAACGAAATCGAACCAAAGTAAAAATAATGAAACAAACATTGTATCTTAATTTGTACAAATTAGAATTGAACAATTTTTTTAAATTTTATTTAGGTAAAACAAAATTTAAAAATACTAGAGTTCTGTTTTTTTTTAACAATATTAAGTAAAAATTATGACTCAGAAATTGATATCTTAGGAACTTTTTAACTTGTTGATATAATTTATAATTACTAGAAGACTAAGCCCGAATTATAACTTAATAATAATTTTAAAATATACAGAAATAAAAACAACTGTAATTAATAAATAATATTTATTAATTATACACTTACTACTTTTGATAATACTGGATTTTATTTTAATATATAATACAATGTTATTTATAACATTTTCTATAACTTTTTCAAAAAATTTAACATTTAAAAGCTAATCTTATTAAACATTTGAAAATTATACAACAAATACTTACAGAAGCTTTACAAATATCAATTGATTTACTCATATTACATAAATAGTTAAAAACATTCAGAATCAACTTATTTAAAAAACACTACTCTAAAAAATTTAAATTATTTTATATCATTCAAATTATATGTGTCATGACATTAAAAAATTACATACTATTTTATTCAATTTGTACTAAAATCTATATATAAGGTAATAATTATTTTTTAATTAAATATAACATTGAATAACAACACTGATCATCAACGAATTAACTTTTTTCAACTAACTGTGACTATGTACAGACTTGTTGTTTTATAATTTATGGAAAAGATAACTCTTATCATTTAGTAAATGAAGTGATATTTATTAAGTCATAGACAGTGTTGCCAGATAGAGGGAAATTTCCCGTTTAGAGGGAAAATATGGGACCGTAATCAATTGGAGGGAAAAAAGAAGAAAATTTATAATTGTACTAAAAAAGGGAAACTTAGGAATTTCAGTTATTAATCGATATTTTTACTTTTATAAAAAAAATTATTTAAAAGTATACATGTTATTTTTTCACAAAAAAATGATCAATTTTTATTTTTGCATAGATAAATTAATTTTTATGTTAACAAATCCTATTGATAATACTATCTAAGAATATCACAATCGGTCCTTGGATCCTATCTACAACCGTTGAAACAATTATGAACATTAGGAATAAATCGATTTTACCTATCAATGTTGCAGTACCTGATATGATAATGTCTGGAAGTTAGCAATACCTATATAGTAATTCCTTATCATATATAAAACTCAAATACACCGCTAGAGGGCGCCACTTATTTAAAATATATGTTTTATTATAAAGTAGTTACGAAAAAATTCCGAAGGGTATTCTTTTAAAAATTATATTCAAAAAAAAAACTTATAAAAATTATAGTAATTTTTATATGGCATCAGTCAAAAATGGTACTCGAGTTTCCAAGTAACCCGTATAAAAGAAATTGCTGGGCAATATCTGCGGTTATAACACTACATATTCTCCGACGTGCGACCGGTTTTTTTTACTTTTGACAAAGTTCCGAGACGAGTCCAGGCAATAATTATACACCAAATTAAAGCTTATAAAATATCCTATCGAATGGCATTAGTCAAAAATGGTACTCGAGTTTCCAAGTAACCCGTTTAAAAGAAATGGCTGGGCAATATTTGCGTTAATAACATCATATATTCTCCGACCTGAGTACGGTTTTTTGTACTTTTGACAAAGTTCCGAGACGAGTCCAGGCAATAATTATACACCAAATTAAAGCTTATAAAATATCCTATCGAATGGCATTAGTCAAAAATGGTACTCGAGTTTCCAAGTAACCCGTTTCAGAGAAATTGCTGGGCAATATCTGCGGTAATAACACTACATATTCTCCGACGTGCGACCGGTTTTTTGTACTTTTGACAAAGTTCTGAGAAGAGTCCAGGCAATAATTATACACCAAATTAAAGCTTATAAAATATCCTATCGAATGGCATTAGTCACAAATGGTACTCGAGTTTCCAAGTAACCCGTTTCAGAGAAATTGCTGGGCAATATCTGCGGTAATAACACTACATATTCTCCGACGTGCAACCGGTTTTCGTACTTTTGACATAGTTCCGAGACGAGTCCAGGCAATAATTATACACCAAATTAAAGCTTATAATATTGTTTATGGACAAATCCCCTTCAACCATAATTTATTATATAGAAAGCCTAATTTTAAATTCACAATAAAATAATCGTTCCCGCCAAATATGCAGGTGACGAATAATCTTTATCTTAATCTCTTACACGAGTATTACTTTAACGACAAGTCTCTTCTGAGAAACGTTCCAGATGAATATACACCAGGGAAATGCAATCGATGATTCTAAGGATGTTTCCCGTGGCGTTTCTATTTGCGTAATTTGGACAATTCAATTCAATATATTTGAAGTTACCCACTATTAATATAATGAACCGCTCAGTATTGGACTAAAGATCACAACTTTAGGTGCAATCGCATGACACGATAGTTTTTATCTTCTTCCAATGCTAATATTATAATTTATTATTATTATATAATTCTTCTTAAACTAACGGCTAATTATACCATTAATATTAGTTATTACTTTTGCAAGTCTGTAGATTTGCAAAAAAAATACTCTCTAAAGATTATCACAATGTTAAGTTTATAAAAAGTGATGATAAGAGTGTGCTAACGAGCAATGATTATATGAAAAAAGGTAAAGAGTATTTTGAAAAATTACTAAATTAGGAGTATCCAAGAGAGACAGAGAATATTTTGAGGATNCAAGAGAGACAGAGGATATTTTGAGGAACGAGGGACTGGTAGATTTAATTAGTGAGAAAGAGGTATAGAAGGATGTGATTCAATATAGCAGTAGGACCAGATGATTATAGTGAGACTAGTTATGATGTATAGTTCAGCGTGTTGGGCGATTGAAAAGAGAATAAAGCAGAAAATGAATGTAGCAAAGATGAGAATGATTAAATGGAAAAGTGGAGTGACTAGAGAAGATAGGATAAGGAACAAACATATAATAATAATAATGTATGTTTTTTCGTTTATTGTGCAAACAATGATTGGTCAAATCGAGTATTTTATATAAAATATTCAAAATTAATAGTCTTGTTAAAACTAAAATATATTTATTCTGTTGACTATATCTTTTTAAACACATTAATAAGAATTAATAATTATATCAATAAAAAAAATTAAGAAAAACGTCCATAAATTATTACTAGGGCAGTGTGATAAGAATTTCGTACCTGGAGTTCTGGAGTATTAAGTGATACCGTTATAGGTGTAATAGTTGCAATTAATTTTTAAATTGTTCAATTTTAGCAAATAATCAATTCAATTAATTTTACTCAGTTTATTAAAGTTGTTATTTTAAAAATTGCATCTTAAATACGACTGCGAATATAGTACATTCAGATATTTTGTTTCACAATTAATCAACGTGTGAAAACGATTATAATTAGGGTACTCTTTGTTTTAACAATATAGCATATTAATAAATTTAATTTCTTCACATAATTGTTGTATTCGTGTATTTTACAATCGAATGAATGCTTAACTTTTTGGTCAATAGAGTTGCTCGTCATATTCCAAAATAGTATACTGAAAAATTGAACACCTGCAAGATTTTATCTACGAATTCACTAACGATGTTGTAAATTTAGTTTTATTGAGAACCTTATCAAAAAATCAAGCGATAATTCTAAACCTCGTCATTGTATATCTCCCATAACGATTATAGTTATGATGAAATGTTTTTATATTAAAACAATTGAATGGCGACTTATAAATAATTTCGACTGTGCTATTATTCTTTATAATTGCTGTACTTACTGAAANGTGCTATTATTCTTTATAATTGCTGTACTTAGTGAAAAAAAAAATTGTATTAATAATTAGGCTTGGAGACTTGTGGCAAATACATACATAAATATTTAAAAGTGTAAAAAGTAACTGTAAAATATAACTATTGAATATAATCAACAATTAAAGTTACAAATTTTATTTTGCAATTATTTAGTATTGAAACACAAGTCTTTAATAAATATCTTGGTACATATATCGATAGCTAGTGGAGGCTCGTGGGTGCTAGAGATGGGGGTGGACTTAAAATATAATACCGCTAGTCATAGGTATAAAGAGGCTTACACACTAGGCGTTTAATCGCGTGCGTACGCGTTTTTAAAAACGCGGCGATTAATCGCTTCATATAAAACACCCGCATTTAAATTGAACCATGCACACTATGAGTAAAAACATGCGTTCGGACTCGACCGATCGCGCAGGTTTGATTTTGGGCGATCGGACGCGACCGATCGCTAAAATTAAACAATACAAATCGCATGTTATCATTCTCACGGGGCGATTAAATGCCGCGATTTCCGGGCACGTGAGGGTTCATTCAAACTATTTTCACTTACAAAAACCAAACACAGAGTCTTCATTTACTAGATATTAATTTGAAAATTTATACTAAAATTTACCTTACAATTTTCTTTTTTTTTTTTTTTACCTCAATGTAACTGTGAGTCGCTCTTCTGGTGGTATTGATAATCGTAAACAAGTATCCTCTTTTTGAAATTTTGATCCAACTAATATAATCTTTAAATTTTAAATAATTCATATTTTTTTTTTAAATTTAATATTATATGAGATATAATATGATATATTATATGAGATTTTATTTAATTATTTCATCCATTACATTACTTAAAATACTTAACAATGTGGTAAACTGGGTTTTCTACGTCCAATTTGCCCACGCCGATGAGTGTAATCGAGAAGAGTCAAAATAATAACTATAATGTAACATTCATCGATTGTACACTGACCACCGGTGAGTGGTCAGGTCCCTTTTTATTAGAAATAATAATCAATTAACAATACAATTAACAATGTTTCTAGTGTTATACTTTCTAATACAATTAATAATAATCTATTATTTACTTTTACTTTCTAATAATACAAATTCCTTAAAACTAATATATACATATAGTTATGGATTCATGACAACAAAATATTTTAAAATCTTTTTTAAAACACATATTTTTTTATATTGATCTAGACTAAAGTTTATAGTTTTTGGTCAAACTCAAAAAACTTAAAGTTTTAACTTAAAATCTACTTGAAATTCTTTATTCAGCTATATGGTCCAGTGGGATAACTGTGAATAGGGATCATTGTAAAAAAGACTGGCGTTTTGAACCAAATTAACAAACATAAATTTGAATATAAATATTTAAGTAAACAATTTTTCTTTCATAAATTATATTGGTAAAATTATTTTCGAGTTTTTTAAATGTCTTACAAACTTTTCCTGATTAATTGGGTTTAATGTAAATTCCTTTAAAATAAAAATATAAAATTAAATTTTTTTATAAAATTCAATTTCCTAGAAATATAATTTGTTAATTATGTTTAATGTTCGTCAGTCTTTTTGCAATGTTTACAAATACTCCATTTATCATAAAAAAATTATAATTTATAAATGTGTGTTTTAGTGTTTTATAATCATCCACGAAATACTTAAATTTCCTTTTTATGGCAAATATATATATTATATATATATTTAGGTCTAGTAGTAAAATTAAAATAAAATGTTTTTTTTTTTTTATAAAACAAACAAAAACTATTTTTGAATATATTTTGTTCTGTACGTGTAAGATAATAACTAAAAAACTTAAAAATTGAACAAACTAGGGTTGAATTATATTATTGATTTAAATTAATGTT